GATTGGCGCGGTATTCTAATTATTGATTTTTGGATAGGTATTCGAGCTATAATTAAATTCCAATAGCCCTGGAGGATTAGGAAAAAACTACTTTCACTTGCCCATATGGTACATTTGCTTATAGAAAGATGGCCTTCGGCCTTTGTAACACACCCGCCACTTTCCAAAGAGGCATGATGGCTATCTTATCCGATTTGGTGGAGAAATGTATCGAGGTGTTTATGGATGATTTCTCGATTTTTGGGGCCTCATTTGATGAATGCTTAATGAACATGGAGATGGTGTTAAAAAGGTATGAAGAAATTAATTTGATGCATAATTAGGAAAATGCCACTTTATGGTTCAAGATGGCATAGCACTTGGCCATCAAATATCTTGTATTTTTCAATTATCTCCATTTTATAATGTGTTCTCTCTTTATTTTATTTTTGTGATTCTATTTTACAATGGACTAATGGTCCGTTTGATTGCAAAGATAGAATTGAATTGAAAACGAATTCTAGGGAATTGAATTGTCTAAAAATTATTTTCCTAAGAACTGTAAATTATTGTGTTTGATTGGTATAATTTTTTACATGGAAAATATTAAAATAAAAGTGTTTTTTAGTGTTCGTTTGGCTTTATTTTACATGAAAATTGTCAATTAAAGGGATATATTTTACTGGTTTTAGGAATGAAATTTGTTTCCATTGCCAACAAAAAAAATAAAAAATAAATCAAGAAAATCATCAATCTTTCGGTGTTCGTTTGACTTTGTTTTACATTGAAATTGCCAATTAAAATGAAATATTTTTGTACAATATTTCTTAGAATTTGTTTCCATTCCAAGAAAAAAAAAACAGTAACAGGAATCTAGAAAACCAATTCCCACCATATTGTGGGAATTGATTTTCAAGGAAAATCAAGAAAATTTCAAGTTTCAAGAAAATCAAGAAACCAAATTCCATGGAATTCAAAACCTATCAAACAAGCAAAATTGGAGGAAAGTGGAATTAAAATTCCATTTTCCATGGAATTTAAACCAATCAAACATAGCCTAAGTGTTTAATGTTGGAATTTATGGTGTGACTTGACCTAAGTTTCATTAATGTCAATATTCATCATTTAATACTTTAATTAATATATTATTGTGCATTTATTATTGTGCTTAAGTTTCATCATATATGTGGCTAATAGATGATTGAATTAGGCTGTTTGTGCAATTATTGAGATATTTTTGTTCATTTTTGGCCAAGATAATTAATGCCCTAAGTTGTTTTAGGAGATAGAGATATACTTCAAACCTTATGTGACTCATTGAGTTATTTTCATTAAGATTTAATGCGATTGGTTAGGTTTTTATCAACATATAGTAGGTAAAATCAATTGAATATGGTTAATTTCGCTCAAGAGAAGCAATTAACTAAAATTAGAAAATCGGCTCTAATAATGTAACTAGGTAATTTGCATTTTTGGTTTGTTGAGATGTTAAAGAAACGACAGTTAAGTGATATTGTAAATCCCAACTCATTTATAATTCAAATTTCCTTCTCTTTCATAATTGTTATTTTAATTGATCTTCAAATTCATTTTCTTTTCCATTTCACATATAAAATCTAATTGTGTGTTTTCAATTGTTAAATTTGAATCAACAATTGAATAATTAAAAAAACTCCTCGAGGGATCGATACTTGGACTCGTAATTTCACTTTATTACTTGAACGCCCTCGTGCATTTGCGGTATATAATTTTAGCGAACAGGTTTTTGCCATTGAAAAGAAAATGGTTGAACAACTCAATTATCCAAAATTAATTGATATTTTTGCTTCTAAACCGCAAGACAAGTTGTATTTAAATGATTGTTTAGATTCATATTTTGAATATTTCATTTTATTTGTTGTTTTATTGTTGATTTTAAATTAAAAATTTTAATTTAGTAAAACTCTTATAAATGGAAAAAAAAAAAAAAATTTGCTTGCTACGATTTAGGAGCTCTAATTCTAAAGTTCACTTCAGGCCTTGCGAAACATAGGTATGACCTGCAAAATGATGATGTCGCCCTCTGATTTAGTGACGGAATCAAAGTTGTGTATATGGTAGTGAGGGGTTTTGCAAATAGCTAAAGAATGATTTTTTAATAGATTTATTTTAAAGGCCTCATAATCTCTGCAATATTTGGATGCATGATAGCGAATACATTTTCAAAAGAGAACAAGTTAGCAACTGATGGGAAACTACATGCAGATGTTTATAAAGAAGAGCAGATTTTTTCCAAAGCATTGTGCTTAAATGAGAAACTTCTTGTTTAAATTTTCAGTGGTTTAACTGACAAACTTGGGGAGGTTTGTAGACATTTATTAAAAGATAGATGCCTGTAAGATAAGAGAAATTTGCACTATTGGACCTATTAGCTTATTGTTCTAATAGCAAGTTAGTCTTCAACGATTAAAAAAGAGCAGAGATCTTTTGTTCTTGTTACCTCAACGTTGGGAAATCTTCGAATCTTTGTTAATTGTCACCTAATTTTCATGAAACAACATCCCGCTTCAAAATTTTGGACATCAATCTAAGTTGATAAGTCAAACCATGCTTCATAAAGTTTGACATGCAAGCACCTTGTGATAATTTAACATACATCTGGACGACTTTTGTCATTGAAAAATTCATTTGTAAAACTATGTGAAAGGTCGAAACCCATTTTCTCATTTTTACAGGTTTTGTACAGCGTACCACTTCACTATTCGAACGGTAGGTTAAAAGACCAGAAGTGAAAATTTTCACATTTGGTAACCATCGCCGAGGGAGAAAGCAACTTTTCTTTGCTTGATTGGGAAACATTTTTAGAAAATTAAAAATTACGTCTATTATTCAATCAAAATCAAACTTTAATTTAACAACACATTCAAAATTACTACTTATTATTATCAACACATATATTGGTCCCACCACTGTTCGTCCTACAAAATTCTTAAAAAGTTACTAATAATCTTTTCAGAGCAAAGGCTATATCTTTTCTTTTCTTTTCTTTTTTTTCATTTAACTTTTTCTTTAATTACTTTTATGAAATATAAAAATTGACTTGAATAATCCCTTTTCAAAGTAGTCACTGGATACTCGACAGAATTTTGAATAGTTTCTATCCAGTCAAACTAAATCAAATTTGATAGTTTGAAAATCTAAACATTAAAAAAATTAAATAAGGACTAGAGAATAATAATGTTTATAAAAAAAAAAATAATGTTTATAAATTGTTAACTGTACAACAGATGGCTCTACCTAAACGTAACTTAGCTTATGAGGTTGAGCCTCCCAGTTTTGCTACAGGGTTTGTGAATGAATGCTAAAGCTTATGTTTAGATTTTCTAAAAATTTATATTTAGATTTTCTATTCCTTAATAATTTATATTTAGATTTTCTAAAATTGTCTATGTTCGTTATCATTCAATTGAAGAGTGCATTCAAATTCGATTTGCCCGACAAAGTTAGTATAGCTCTATACTATTTTTAGTTTATAATTGTTGTACATTAAGCGACAAATTATCCTTTCAATAGCATTGCACATCTACACAAGGCAAAACATCGGTATTTTTATCTCTTTCAATTTTCTTCCTTCGATTGTCGAGTTGTTTTTCAAACAACAAATTAAAATCTGATCATGTCAAATACGAATCAATAACCCATACAATAATATTGCATGTTTAGCTAAGCTTAAATGCCCCGTTGACCTTCTTCCTTAGCTGTGCTATTAATGACCAGAAAAGTATGCTTTATTGCTTTCAGGTTTCATCCATAAAAGAATTATCTTTCCAAAACTTAGTCCCGATTGAGGGAAAGAAGTGATGAGTGTTACTAGTCAAATCGATAAGAGATACACATATTCCGTTAATGAAACCAAACAATATCTACATCTACATCTACAATATATTAAAAGTGTGAATTGAGGAAAAACTTTTGAATACTAATTTTACCCTTACTTATTTAGCTTTATCTCAATTCTACCCTTATATATTTAATATAGTACCATTTAATATAATTTAACTTCATTTAATATCCATTTAAGTGTAATGCTATTAATTAAATAAAAAAATATTTGTTAATTTCTATAAATGATTATTTAAAGCCATCATTTGAGCTCCTTAAATATCCATTTTTCAATTTTACTTTGAATTAATGCTATTAATCAAATTAAAATAATTTTTTTTAATATCAAAATGAGAATTTAAGGCCATCATTTGGGTTCATTAAATAATTTTGGTTTCTAATTTAAAATAAATACTATGAATTAATATGACGAGCATGATCAATATGTAATTTTTTTTATTTCTGAATATGTTTAGATAAGATAATTTTTGGTTTTTATTTTTTAGGTAAAAAAGTTTATGGTATAGACAAAATGAGTAATTTTTTAATTTGAAAATTATTTACGTACTTTTAGTTTACTTATATGTAAACATTATAAGCTTAATCAAATGTACATTCTTTTAACATTATCAATTGCCTTACTTTAAAAATATTACGCATGTCATTCATTTCGTACATAAAACGTGCAACACAGGTGCTTACTACTAGTAAATCCAGAATCCGATGCTAGTAATTCAGATCATAGGATTGCTGAGTGATGGTGCAAATTTTCTTTATTCAAAAAATTCAAGACATTAAATGGAATTCACCCATCGACCAAACTACATGAATCCAAAATCCGACGCTGGTAAATTCTATATATGTGAAAATTTTCTTATTCAAGAAATTCAAGGACATAAATTTGAACTCCCCTTTGACCAAGAAAACAAGAATCCAGAACGAATGTGTAAATTTCCCTTAATCAAAAAATGAAATTCTTCCATTGACCAACCAACATGAATCCAAAATCTAATGTTAGTAATCCAGAAAAAATAAAATATCCAAAGTGGAACCTCAGACTTCTCTGTCTTATAAAAAGGTTACATTTTAAGCTTTCTCTAGCCAGTTTACAAACTAAAAAATCTCTCAATCACCGCCCCACATTTTCACTTTCTTTTCCGATGGTTTCTATGAAGGAATCCTCCAAGACACCGCTGCTGCCGGTTTCTGATTCCGGCAGCGGCAGCAGCAAGAAGAGCCCGACCATGACAAAGAAAGGTGCATTTGCTGCCATTTCGTACATGGCTTGTGCTGGTTAGTTACCACTTTCTTTTCTTCCCAGTTTATGACATGTTCTGTGTTCTTTTTCTGCTTAAAATTTAGGTTTTCATCATTTTTTGTCTACGTGATACGGATGTTATTCACTTATTTTTCTTACTTTTGTAACAGAAGATGACAGCATTACAGCACCTTTCTTCCAAATAATATTTTTACATTGTTTCGTTTACGGGTTACTTTTATCACTAATAACTCCTGGTATTAAAAATTATTGAAAATTACATGCTTGGTCCCAAACTTATTAAGCAAGTAGATGTGGGTGTCAACATTTCAAAAGAGGTGCACAACCAGTCATCACGGATGGCTCCTTCAAATTATTTATTAAGTTGCCACGATTAGGTTGTAACATTCCAAAGAGGGTGAGCGTGAGGGTGGGGGGGGGGAGCCAGTGTGCCAATAATGTCTCATCTTTCATTTATAAAATGTACATCAGGTCTTAACAATCGAAAATATTTTAGAAAAAATATAGGCATACTGCCGACAAAAAGTTTATGCCCTTCTATATCTCTAAAGCTAGGGAGTCCTAAGAATCCAACTGCTATTCCATTTTTGTTATCCATCGAGCCTGCACTGTCGGTATAATCATAAAAAGCTAATTTTTCAAGAATATGAGACCAGACTTTTGATAAACTTTGATTTTCTGCTAGCCCAACACTAACTCTTCAGTATATCTCTGGTTGACAATTCGTCTATTTTCGAGAAATCTATTGGTGAATTCCCATTTTTTTTTCCATTTTGACTATTTTCCGTCTATCAAGATGTATAGATTGTGTTCCTAGATTCACAAAAATATGTGCAAAAGCTCTGTTTCCTCTCTTTTTGGCTACTGTCATCTACTGTTAAAACTTTGAATTTATTCTGCAGTTCTGTTGGTAATCTTCAATAAAGCAGCAATTTCTTCGTATAATTTTCCGTCTGCAAATGTCATCACACTTTTTCAGGTAACTCTCTTGTATATGTAAGAATAGACTGGAGATTGAGTTTGAAAGTCTTCTCTTATTTGCTCTTTCAGTGAATTCACAGAATATGTTAATAGATTATAAATATTATGCTTAGGTTTTGCAAATACCGCAGATAAACTGGGTTAGAAGAATTTCTTGGAAAATGGGAAGAATTTCCAGAATGAAAATGAAGTACTGAAAAAAGTTGATGGTTCCATTGGTACTCAAATTTTATTCTCAATGTGACTTCAAAGTTCCAGTTTCTGAAAATAAAATGCCAGCGCTGCATAATAAAATAAATTATGAGATCAAGAATCATTTGAACTTAAAGATCAATATAGAAGCACCATCTTTGAGATGATTCTGTTCTTCACGAGTTACATTCATTTTTGAGCATCAAAAATATGTCTTGAGACATTATATCTTATCCCGGAAATTCTCTCTGCATTTCTCACGCTAACCTTGAGCAAACCCATACGAACACGCTAATCTCAAGACGCATTCCTTCTTCGTTCACTCTCCTTTTCATGATCAATCCGACACGTAAATTCCTGCACGCCTTAGTGTCAGAATGATCTTTCTTTAAGTTCCTAATCTTCTTTTCAGATTTTATTGTTCAGGGATATAGTAAAATTTGTTTTGAAAGTGGATAACAAAAGGCTAAATTTAACAATGTAGAAACGAAGTTAAACAAAATAACAATTGATAGAAACCAAAAGTAGAAAAGAAGAAGAAGAAGAAGAAGAAATGGATGAAATGATTTGAGGCAAGTGAAAACACTTTTTCCTTAAAACAAATTTGTCATGCAACGGTGCTAATAGAGTAACGGCAATTGTCTCCCAAGATACCAAGGATTACTTCCTTATAGTAGAAGATAATCAAACCATATTATACTCTCTACAAAAGAAGATTTTGAATGCAAAGTTTGGGAGAGTTTTTGGCAAGAATTTTAATGCAAGATTCTAAACAATGAATTGGAATGCATAGTGGATGTCCAAAGGATCTTATTTATAGAAGAGAAGAGATTGTGAGTGAAGTGACATGCCATATACTCAACAACCTTCATGAAGGAAAGCATTCCTTGCTGTCATTGGCCTCTCGCTCGAGCACCAGTGACATACTTTTTTCTTAACAAAAATTTTTTTCTTGTCAGTTGCTTGAGCAACAGTCTCACAGCTCAAGTGCTAGGCGAGCGATGGGGTTAGACAAATTTCTCGGCCAAATTTTTCCCTTTTTCTTTGGAAATTTGGACCACAATTTCTTATTCATTTGGAATTGGTTTTGAAATTTCAAATATACCACGATGATCTACTTAACAAGTCGAACAAGTTAGTCCATTTATATTTATAATTTAGTCGAAATTGACACAATTTCTTTTCGTGTTTTATACTTAACTAAATTTTTCAATCTTTAAACCAAATTCCAACAATCCACTACATGAATGAAAATTCATATATTTTCATGCTATGCAAAAGTATGATACAGTGTAAAGAGAAAAAATAGAAAAACACTATATCAGTAAAGTAGTTTCCGATCTTGAACCTTCCTTAGTGAAATAATATCGGATTTACTTGGCTAACTGGTGAACATGATGTTTTGAACTATTTAGCCATTAGTGTAAACTAGGACAATGATACTCATACTCATATCTTTCCTAAATCATTCATAGATCTCATGACTTGGTTCATATTTGACCGTAAACCACTCTTGAGTTTCATAAGTGTTTAGAAAATTTCAGCCTTGAACAGTTTTCGTTGAGGCGGCCTTACTTACACTTACATAGGTGACATCCTAGTAAGAGTATTTTGTCATACTCTACTTGACTTAATCAAGATATAAGAATCATTAAAAGTATAATTTAACCTTTAACATTTTACATAAAGCACTTTAATTATCATAGGAATGAGTTGGGAAGTATTTTACATAAAGCATTTAGCTGTCCCCTTGTAATGGTAAGAATCTTTGTAATGATAACCCTACGTTGTTGACTGAAGATCCCAAAATCTTGATCTAAGGGGACAACTAAGTCATGAAGATTCAATGAAGCACTCAGGGAAATTTAAGTGCTTTATGTAAAATTTTAAGGGTGAAGATAGTGAGATTGGGATAGTATATTTTCTTCCAATGTTTAGAGATCTTAATCCCCAATATTCACATGAACTACCCAAGTCTTTCATATCAAAATGTTTCATTAACATTCTCTCGGTGTTTAGCATTATTTCGTGGCTATTGGCCATTATCAACATGTCGTCTACATATAGGCATACAACTACATAGGCTTTCGGTTTATATTTTATGTATACACATTTGTTACACTCGTTTATCTTAAATCTATTAGACAACATAGTTTTGTCAAACTTTTGGTATCATTGTTTAGAAGCTTGTTCCAATCCATTTAAAGACTTAAATAATTTACAAACCTTTTGTTTGTGATTAGGAGAAACAAACCCTTCAGATTGTTCCATGTATATCTCCTATTCCGACACCATTTAGTAATTTCATCTTTACAAAGATTAGATGAATCTCAAAATTATGTAATTCGACAATAGCAATGACCAACCTCATCGAAGTGATTCTAGTTTTGGTGAGTAGGTATAAAAAAAGTCAAGTCCTTTCTTTTGTCTATATCTCATGGCAACCAATCTAGCCTTATATTTGCCAATGGAACAATTTGGTTTTTGTTTCTTTTTGAAAATCCATTTACACTCTAAAGACTTGTTTCTAGGAGTTAAATCAACTAACTCCCAAGTATGATTTTGCATTATATAATCTATCTCACTACTGATAGCTTTTTTCCAATGTTGTGCTTCCAATATAGACATTGCTCATCGAAAGTCTTTGAATCATTCTCTACCATATAGGTTAGAAAATCTGGGCCAAAGAAATAGATATTCTAGCCCTTTTGCTATGCCTTCTTCCTTATTTGAAGTATCACTTATAGTTTCATAGATTCTTCTATTTTAACTTACATTTTCCTAGTCTTTATATGGAAAAACATTGTCGAAGAATTAAGTATTTCTCAATTCAATTATGGTTCTTTCATGTACATCTTGAATTTTAGATTTATGTCCAAGAAAACGGTATGCACTACTATTACTAGTGTATCCAATAAATATGCAATTAATCATTTTGGGATCGATTATAGCAACAAAATTGATAAATAGTTTACCGGTTGAATTTGAGGAATTTCAGTGAATGCGAGGTCCAAAGTTAACAAATTTATTAATGAAGCTCTTCTGCCGCTGTAGATGCTTTTTTCATGTCTATTTCTCTATGCATTGAGATTTTGGAAGATTATTTCCTTCACATCCGATGGAAAACTCGGCTTGAACAACCACCCGGCAAAACTTGTACCACTGAAGACTATAATTCATACCCTTCCTTTGACAATTTCATATTTATTTTACATGGTATGTATATCTTGCTTTGAGGGTTCCTTTTGGGTATCTTTTGTTTTCCTTCTAGTTATTATCTCTTTGTTTTCTTTTCACAGGTTATCTCAATGGAATCTATCCGCGGGATCAATGTTCCTATGTACACAGCCCTTAGACGGACGACTGTTGCTTTTACAATGATGATGGAGTATATTTTGCTGGGACAGAAACATTCACCATATTTTGTTGGCAGGTAAGAGTTTCTTTAGAAGTCACTTCTTTTTTGTACATTCCTTGATATGTTTTGTTAGACCAATTTTTTGTGAGTCACATGCGAAAATGTTTCATATGGTTCTCATTTACCATATCTTTAGACCTATGATCATATGCCATTGCAGATTTTAATGTTATTACATATTGAGTTTTACTTTCAGAATGCTGATAAGGTATCTATCAGTGTAGGAACAATCATATTGGGCGCATTCATCGCTGGGGCTCGTGACTTGTCATTCGACTTTTACGGTTATTCTATTGTAATCCTTTCAAACATCACTAATGCAATAAACCTCGCTTGCATAGCTCAGACTGGTAATAGTTCTTCTTTATCTTATTTTATTGCATGTCAGTTGTAGAGTAGAGTCGACCGTTATAAATGACTCGTGACTCGTGATATTTTTATTCTTTATCTAGGAAAATCTAGTGGCCTTAATAGCTTTGGCCTTATGTGGTGCACTGGTAAGACCAAAACTTCCCAAACCTTGTTCATATTGTTGTTTTCGAGCTTCTTCTGCTGGAAAATCAAGTCTCCTAATTATATGCATCACGGAGTCTGTAGGAATAACTTGCGGACCAATCTTGCTAATATGGGCATTTTTCAGTGGTGAACTGGAAACAACCATGAATTTCCCATACTTGTACTCATATGGTTTCCAGGTGAGCTTTTTGGAATGAAACATATATTTCTAGCCGCATAGGCGATTTCTTGATATAGTAAAGTAATGAGTCACATCTCAACTTCAATCTTTGCTTCTGTTGTGTTTCTAAATAAGACCGTTGGACGAGTCCATCACTCTCACACATGCACGTGTGCACACACATGAAGGGATTGTTAAGACTTGAAGTTTCATTTTAAAAGGTCAACCTTTTTTAAAAAAGTAACACAATTCTTTATAAATTGGTCTATGTTTTCATCTTTATTCGATGTAGGATTTCAACCTTATCATGTCCCCACAAGATGGTGACTCGTTTGAACAGACAAATCTTGAAACCCATATGCTCATTTATTGAGTCTTGAAATCCGTATGCTCATTTGATGTGGGATCTCATCCCTTAATAGGGACAGAGTGCTCTGAGGAGCTATTCTAAATGTAGCAGTTTTTGAGCTCTCAACACTCAACAGTGGAAAACCATATTAATAATTATTCTATTATATTCATTTGGCATTTCTCAGTTGACAATTGTTACATTTCTTTTTTTCAATATTCCTATGAAATTCGATAATATGAAGTTTTGATTCGTTCTTTGAATCTTGCAGGCTGTGATGTTTTTGTCGTGTGTTGTGGCTTTTTTATTAAACTACACCGTGTTTTTGAACACAACTGTCAATTCAGCACTTACACAGTCGATATGTGGGAACTTGAAGGTATGTCGAGAAAGTACAATGACTTAACAGAACAAAAGAAGGTTCATTGTAAACTAAAGTTGATTTTCCATTTCTAAAACCAGTCATATGATGATATAAAGATAATTTTCATGTAGGACCTGTTTACAATTGGTTTTGGCTGGATACTCTTCGGTGGACTTCCTTTTGATTTGGTGAGCATCGATATCTATTTGAACTTTTTTCATATTTACTTTTCTCATCCCCCATATCAAGATTCTCATTCGTCTAATTTTTTGACGATAATGATTATGATTCTATTCCAGTTAAACGTCGTGGGTCAATCTCTCGGTTTCTTGGGATCCGGCCTATGTGCATATTGTAAACTTAAAGGGAAGTAGCACCCAGAATCGTGCTTTTGATCGAAAGGCAACGTAGATTATAGGCCAGGATGCATTAGTTCCCTCATATATTTGTGATAGGTAAGTTTGTTCGTGTGTTACTCTATTTGACTCAAGAGAGCTTTTGAAAGAATATAACTGTGCAAATGTTGGAACCTTGTAATCTTTTTACACTTGAGCTTGTTTCTATTGAACTCCTTGACCATTGATCCTTGATCCTTATCTTTTTCATTTCAATGCTCGACCTCAAATCATTGATGATGATTGCTAAATCATTTGTTTCTGTGGAATAAATTAATTTTGCAGTAACTAACATCGGAAAGTCTGAGTTGCATTATAACAAAACTTTTCGGCCTTGAAATTTCGAAATATTTTTAAGGTAAATTCCTTTAGGAATTCATGATCGTTCTGTTTATGCCACCTCATGTCCTCAACCTTCCATTGGACCCACTTTATGTTCTTAACTAGATATGTAAACGAGCTGAGTAAAAAAGGGCTTGGGCTTTTTTGGCCCAAGCTGAGCCAAGCAAACTTGACCGAAAAATCAAGACTTGGCTTGAGTTTTTAGCTTGAGCCTTACCTTGTTAAATCGGCTTGATTTTTTTATTTTTTTTTTAAGTCGTGAATTTTGAACTTTCTTTTTTTTTTTTTTTAACAAGCAGTTAGGCAACTGTAGCTGCTTGCAAGCACTGACACTGGCCATAAAAATTGCTCGGGCCATTTTGGCCTACCACATAGGGTGGCACATTTCCGAAAATGAGGCTGGACCTGAGCCTTGACTCGATGGAAATGAGCCATGAGTCAAGCCGGTTCGAGTCGACGAGTCAAATTTACATCCCTATTCTTAACCTTTTAAAACTATGCATCCTGCATCCTCTCTTAACAAAAGCTATTTATTTAGATGGCAAACAAATGTAGTAGGCATGTGATAAATGATTAATGGGTATAATTATCCAAAAATAGTCTCTCTATTTTGATGACCTCCAAGAGGTATATAACCCGTGGAAGAAGATTTTGCACTTTTGCTTAGGTCCCGTTTGTTTCTCATTTTTGGAAGAATGAGAATGAAAAATATAATCGTTACTGGCCCTACACAAGAAATAAAAATTCAAATTGGTGGCTTGATGTGATAATAATGATCATATTTTTCATTTTAGTGAGAAAAGAATAGGAAAAAAATGGGGGCTTAGTATCATTCTAAGTGGAAGGAAATTATATTTGAACACTATATCCATCAGTCATTTATCACGAACCTACCGTATTTTGCCGTCTAACAAAATGGTTTCCCTGGAGTTGGGATACCGTTTGCACAACTTAAAAATGTCTGGACATGAAATTTGGTACAAACGGAAAGGATGAGGATCCCTAGAGAAAGTTACCCTTTCACAATCATGCAAATTTTGTCTATTTGTTGCCATAATGCTTGTGGTTAGTTTAGACAGAAAAAAGAGCATGTCCCTCACTGGTGGCGACATTGGAGTGAAAAAAGCAAGAGTGGGAAAGGATTTATCTTTATCTTTCGGCATAGCATGTCATGCTCGTGCCTTTACCTTATCTACGAAATTGAAGGGTCATAAAATTGAGAACGTTAGCATGTCATTATATTAGACGAGAGTGTTCAATTCAGTCTTGTCATTATTTATTGATGAAAATTATACAAATTTGACTCTTAAACTTTGAAACGAAATAATAATCGACGTAAAAACTCTTGTCGACAATCAAAATGAGTATGAGTTACAAATGAAGGAATTGCCTTTTTGCAGTCTTCACAATAGAAAGGCTTCCGTGTTTAAAGGAAAATGGAATATGGCCCACCAATAATAAAGTAACCATTAGTCCCATGTTTTTGGCTTAGTGTCATAAAGACATGCTGAAACGTTCAATTGATTTTTCTCAACTTAGACATCTCTCACACATATTACATATAGAATTTCCATAAAATGTGTACAACAATTTTATTTAAAAGTTCAATTTATTAGAGAACAAATTTATTTATATGTACTACTTATTTTAATACAATTTGCATTTTTCATAACATTACGTTAAACAATAATACATAAAAAAGTTACTGATAAGTAATAATTTAAGCATTGAGTTACACAAACTTAGGCTTCAGTCAAGCGATTTGGGAGACAATACATGGCACTAAGCTTAGATAAATTCGTAAGTCCATAATTATTTAGATGACTGTCCAAAGTGGCGAAAGTTCTCTCTTTAATATCGTCATTCTTGTACATAGATTTTTTTTTTTTTTTTTTTTGTTGAAATTTAATAAAAAGGACTAATTTCAATTATCTTTTATCTCATTCACACACTATATTTAATTTCTTTCTTCCCAATCACTTCTTAAATTAAAAATAACTAAATCACCAAAATCCCGTGAAAGTTGTTAATTCTACACCCACATCTACACGAATCCACCAAGACCCGATATTCTAACTTCACAAAGGGAAAACTTTCAACTATCCATCTATATTGACACATTCTTGCATCAAACTCGAGATATTAAAGATCACAACTAAAGTCATATACGAAACATTATAGTTCAAAATATATGTTACCTTTGTGAGATAATATGACAATTGGAGGTCACAAACAATGAATTACTAGTCAAAATTACTCAACAAATTAGAGTTGAAATTTTAAAATCAAATTAGAATTCAAGTTAATTGCCTTTCCATCCCCTTATTTCGCTTACTTAATCTTATTGATGCGCAGAATTACTCAAAAACATCATAAAATGTATGATTTTTAGAAAAATATCAAAATCCACCTAACCCCTATTTCAATCCTGAGGTTGTCTATGAATGAAACAACTTTATGGAGAGAAAAGAAAGAAAAGAGAGTCCCTTTCAAAAAGTATCATTAAAGATTAAAGAAAAGGGTTAGCAACCCCAATACTATTGTCTCCCATTTCGCCTTCAAGCTACCCCTCCTTTGACGCCGGTGTTCCCGCCTCCTTTCCATTCTATACAAAAATTGCACCATTTTGTAGGAATTAAAATTCAGCTTTTAATTTAAGTCAAAATCAGTAATAATTAATTTTAATCATACGTTTATATTGAATTCACACATTTTCAATTACACATTCCGTTAACTTTTATCAAAATTTACTAAATATTTGCTTTTAATCCCCACCAAAAAAGAACTAGAAATTATGTGAATTATACAGCGGATTTAAAATCTTAACAATGTTACTTTTTACTTTATCCCCGTTCATTTGAAAATTAACGATGTCGAGGGCATGGAAATAGAATCATTATAGTTTTGAAAGTTCGATGACTATTCAAAATAATTTAAACTTCAATGACGGTTGAAAAATACCTTGTAGGAAGAACGATTTAGGGGTTTAAATGTCAAAATTGAAACGATAGAGACAATTAACTCAATTTAAGTAAACGATAAGAACGTTTTGTGTGAATTACCCTGAAAACAACATACTCCTTCTGTTTTATTTATATAGACTGATTTTGTTTTCCACATGGTTTAAGAAATCCTATTTTATGTTATTGAAAAAGTAATTTTTATCAAAACTTTTCTAGCCTATCTATTTATATTTGTACAATTACAAGATATAAGCAGTAAAAATTGATTATAACTAGGCAAATTAAATAATAGTATATTAGTAAATAAATAAAACAAAATATTCTTAATAAAGAAACAAGATTATATAATTAGGGCCTTGGACGTAGAGAATATAATTTTGTTTATTTAGATTTAGTTTTGGAGAAAGTGCATGTTTTTGGAAAGGTAAAAGAAGATAAAACTTTTGTACGTACATCAATGGAACATTCTTTACAGACAATCCTTCGCTGACATTCTGCACTCGTGTTTCCAACTCTCTCTCTCTCTCTCTCTCTCTCTCTCACATCACATGAGTTCACTCTTTCATTGATTTCCTAGTATGGATTCCATAATTCTAACTTATGTTTTCATCGTGTTTATAAACACTTAAATTATTTTTTATTCTGTATTATAATGGATTCATAAATAATATTCATTTATCAAACATTTATTATTTATTTATTTATAACATAAACTATTTATATATATGATATGCTTTCAATAAACTCTACTTGGTACTTTATTTGTTGGTTTCAATCGTGTCATATAACGGTGTCAAATTAAGTTGAGTCAAACCAGTTCACATTTGGTCAAGCTAGTTGTGAAGAGGCTCGAACAACCTACTTATTGTTTTGAGTTTTTCTCTCCTTCAAGTTTATTTTTTGGGCATGACCCACTCGAACACCACCATTTAACGTGATTAGATATGTAATGCATTTAAAGACGATTAAATAATTGTATCATTTACTCAAAAATTAAACTTTTACATAAAATGGTTCAACATGTTATGCAGCTAAAGTTTTTGAATTTGAGCTTCATCAATCCTAGTTCATGAAAATTGCATTTTCATTTAAAAAAAATTAAAAAAAAATAATAATAATTGTTGCTAATCGTATAAAGGGTGTGTTTTGGACTTAAATTAAATAAATAAACATATTTCTCCTGGTGTAGTTTAAGTTTTTTAATGGAATAAATCATATACATGCATATTCAAAAAGAAATTATAGAAAATTATAATGGAACAGGTAATGTTCAAAAATCTATTATTAAGTGAAAGCAGATATAGTGGAATCATATATGGAAAAGTACTTAAAAAAGGATAATCAATTTACAAATAAGTCAATAAAAGAATTTCATTCTCTGATTTGGATTAAAAAAAAAAAAAAAAAAAACTGGGTCAAATAAATTAAAATAATGAAAGACTGGTACGAGAAAAAAGGGATTTGTTAAGGTTCTTTGGTAGAGAATATTTCAAGAGCATGCGCAAGACAAGCAAGAAGTGTTTGATTTTAAATTAATATTATGAGTAGAAGCTAAGCATGAGAACCCTAAAAGTCCCTTTCCATCATTCTCCTCACCTTCCTCTCCTCATCCCGAGGCTAACCCTACCTTTATAACTTCTTCTTCCTCTCAACTCCATTTGCTCTATTTAGTTGTACATATCTCGTTGTGATGGTGAAT